TCTCTCGTTCTCTTTACGATGCATCTCGATCGATTTCTTCTTTTCTTTTTCGCTCCTTTCGATCTTCTTTCTTTCTCCGTCTCTCTCGCTCTGTTTCTCTCCCCCTCCTCCTTGGGCGAATCGTTGCACTCGGCGCGTGCCAACCTCGTGCCCTCTCCGTCTGCTTGTACCCCTTCCCTTGTCGTGCATTTAATTCCACCGCTTCTCTCTTTCTCTCTCTCTCTCTCTCATCCTTCTCCACCCCTTTCGACTCGCCACCTCACCTCCTCGCGCCGGCCGGCTTCTAGCGATCGAAGTGCATTCTGCGTGCACTTGTTGCGCCGACGATGCACACAGCCGGCTCCTCTCGCCACTTTCTCTTTTTTTTCTTTTCACTGAGCGCAAGTTCCTCCTCAACTGCCTCGGTGTTTCTAACTTGGCGCTACCGTCTTTCGCCACTTCCGCTCGCTTTCTTTTCAGGTATCTGCGTGTTTTTCTTCTTTGGCTTTTTACATTTGAAAACTTTTCACCGATTACATTGTATAAAAAAAAAACCAATTTGTATAGTAGACAGATTAACTTCACGAAGTTAAAATGTAAATTAAAAAAAAACACACAAATAAAACGTTGGGTTTTGTGCGCAAAAGTTTTAATCTCTCGATCTTCAAATGTGACCAGTTACATCTCGCACTTTTTAAATGTTAGATCAGTAGATAAAAAAAACTAATGAAAATCTGGACAAACATAATTTTTAAAAATTGAATTAAGCGCAGACGTGTGAGTAGTAAATATAAAAACAAATAGATATGAGTGAAGGAATTACCTTGCAAGTGACAAACTAGTGTCAAAAATAAGAGATACGTCATTTAATTTGTATTCGCAAATTTCCGAGTAATAAAATATTAAAGAACTTAAGAATCATTGTAAATCAGTTATATTGTATTAAATAAGTAAACAAATAAATATAAACTTGATAAACAATGACCTCAATGTCTTTGACATTTATATACAATTTGCATGCACGCATGTGAAAAAATAAAAACACCAATGTTTTTTAACGATCTCATTGTTCTTCGGACATTAACGCGACACAAAGTGAAAGTGAAACGACGTAATCAATCCCGCTCGGTAGGATCTCCGCGTTCGATGTGTTTGTTCAAAAGTGTACGCGTCTTCTTACAAGCCCCGAGGTACGGCGCCCCAACGCGAGAGGAGGAGCTCTCGCGGAGCTCTTCGTCCGTTGCAGCTGCGTTGTCGTCGTCGTCGTCGTCGTCGTCGTCGTCGTCGTCTGCACGCGCTGCGCCGTCAGCGCTTATCTCGTCGCATTCTCCCATTCCTCGACGAGCGAGTCATCGTTCGCGATGCTCAACGAATCGCCAATTATGCGCGTAATTAATCAGGATCGTGATTCAGACTAACGATCCAAAGAGGACAAGAGTATATGCAAACGCGACACTTGATTTATAACAAAGGCGGAACCTCGAGCCGGGATCGTTGTAATTATGCGAAATGCCATTACGTTCGTTATTTTTCTTAATCGCGCACTCGGAGAGACGACCGGTTGAAACACATACTCGTGGACAATAATTTAATTAGTTTTTGAAGTTGCAAAAAAACGCGCGCGTAGGATTTCGACGCGTAAACAAAAATCTTAGATTATTGTTAAGCTGTAACTAATTGTAAATAATTTAATTATTAAAAATTAATAATAGATAATAATTAATTAATGATATATTAGTAATTAATTATAGAATTTCAGAATAACGAGTAACTCAAGCTGAAAGCTTGTAACTGTATAGAGTTCGTGACGCAACCGCTTCGATCCGAATTACCGATCGGATGCTGGTGCCGGGATGCAATGTAATTTGCGCTCTTGAGTAACGCGCGCGATAATGCGATTATCGTCGCCGAGACGTAGGCGTGAACCGACGTCTGAAGATTCACGCCGCGAGCTCTCATCGCTTAATGATTCTTTCGACCCCGCAATAACGAGCTTGGCGCAAACGAGCTTGCGACTTTCCGCTAACAGCCGAATTAAGGTGTAAACCAATAAGTGGCGCGTCGTCGCGAATTTCTTAGAATGTAATGTGTCCTCACGGGAGAAAAAATCAAAACAAATTTAACACCGAAGAACGAGCAAACTCCGGTCAAAATGACGGATTTCAGAAACGCAATCTGATTTGCGAAGAAACATTCTGAGTAATTTTATTTGATAAAATAAGTGTGAAATATTTTAAAATCTTTGTAGCTGGAAGCTGTTTTTGTTAATCAATTACGTAAATATCAAAGAAGTCAAAAGATAACAATGAAACGTTTTTTTGTTTTTCAAATACTCGTCAAATTGACAATTGATGTGGTCAAAAGAATGCACATTGGCCTCTGATTGTCCCGGTGTGTGATTACATTTAATTTTGTAAAACTACGTTTTTACTCGGACGCACATTGAGAATTTTATTATTAAATTAAACACCAGACACACAAATGACCCCTTCTGCGACAGAGATAAAAGGTATCGCGGACGATCGCGTCGGTTACTTACGCCGAATCTGTTTTGTTTGGAAATACGACGATGACCGCGCACATCCCCTTCATTAATAATTAATAACAGCGCGAATCACGTAAGCCCCGGGAGGGAAGAAGGGAAGAGCCAGAGAAAAGGAGAGAGAGAGAGAGAGAGGACGGCGAAAATCTTAATTACAGATTCGCCGCGTTGCATAATGCTTCGTCGTGACGTCGTCGTTTTTTTCTCGCGTCTTTTCACCGTCGGAGAAGAAGAAGCGGAGGCGGTTACCCCGCTTATCGATCTCTTATCGAGCCTCCGGATCGCGGGGCCCCGTGTCCGGTCACGGGTGAACGTCGGATTTCATGGATACGCGTGGTACGCGCGATCCGCAGGTGTAAAAGGGCCTCGCTTAATTATTCCGAAATGAAGGGACGCTGACGTGCAATAATTGTCACGCGTTTCCTCCCTTTCTTCTCTCCCTCTCGTTATTGCCCCGAACGAGCACTTTCGCGAAATCTGATCATGCCCGTCTTGAGATTGCGAAGAAGACGCGCGATTTACGATTTTTTCGTGGGCCAGCTGCTCTTATCTTCGAATATTTGACCGACCGTCAGAGAACGGAACATCGTTTATGGCAGGTTTGACGCGATATTTACGGTCGATCCGATGATCTTTTTTTTTTTTTTGTTTCTGATACGTACGAGTTCATTACGAGCACGTCTACATAAAGTCATTATTATTATCACCGGATGATACAGTTTGATTGCCTTTCACGTCGGTGTAAATTACACAAGTTAATAAAATCAATGTCGAGGGGAATAAACTAAGTAGAGCACCCAGACGTGGTTTCAAAAGAATTTTTTTTCTGAATAATCGGCAACGGATAATCTACGGATAATAAACTTTGTTAGATTCACGTCACATTTGGAGAGAAAATTTGTTTTTAATTTCCATCAACCACGCCCGAGTCATGCTCGCTTGTTTATTTCTCTGATTTTGATTCGATATTCAAGAACCTTCTTTTCGTACGCTATTTCTGTACAATAAAATAGTCATTTCGGAGGATGTGCGCGTTTTTAATGTGAGATAGGAAATTCTGATTCCGTTTGTACATCGTATTTTTGCAGCGGCTCCGGATCATTAGTATTTTAGTGCTCGCGCGCGGCGAAAGTGAAAACGCAGTAGCCCGCGGGTTGCGCGAACAGGTTTCCAAACGAATTGAAATTCCGCACGACACACGGCTCGTGTACACACACGCGGCGCGCGCTGGTTCCGCAGAATACTCGGGCGCGAGTACTCGAGGGCGATTTTAACGGCGATGCTTCTTAATTGCCGTGACCGTGGCGTAAAAGAACGACGCCGTGGAGGAGCCGTGGAATATGCACGGATCACGGAAGACGACGTGCGTTGCTGCACCTGGCCGAAAACGACCAGACCAGATGCGTATCTCGAACGACGCGGTTATTATTAATTTTCTTGTTTTTTTTTTTTTTTTTTTTTTTTTTTTTTGTTGCTTTTTTTTTTTTTTTTTCGTTTTTTTTTTGTCGCCACCGCCGTCACCGCCGCAATATCTTTAATATGCACGTCGCGA